GGAATGAAGAAGTAAAATTGTTACTTTTTGCAGATAATATGAGCCTTTATATAGAAAACCCTAAAGACTCCACAAAATAGCTATTAGAAACAATAAACAAATACCTTAATGTTGCAAGATATAAAATCAATGTATAAAAATCCACTGTGTTCCTACATACCAGCAATGAAATTTCAGAAAACAATGAAAACAAAACAAAACACCAATACATTTGCAACTGCAATAAAAAGAATAAAATACCTGGGAACAAACTTAACAAAGGATGTGAAGGACCTATTCATTGGAAACTACAAAACATTATTGAAAGAAATTGAAGAAGACACAAAGAAATGAAAAGAGATTTTGTATTCATGGATTGTAAGAATTAACATAGATAAAATGGTCACATTATCCAACTCAGTATACAGACTTAATGCAATCCCTAGCAAAATTCCAACTGCACTTCTCAAAGAAATAGGACAGAAAAATCATCAAAGTTCCATAGAACCCCCCCCCCCACACACACACACACAAAACAAACAAAACCTAAATAGCCAAAGCAATCCTGAGAAAAAAAGGACAAACCTGGAGCTACCACAATCCCTGTCTTCATATTATACTACAAAGCTACAATAATCAAAACAATTTAGCACTGGCAGAAAAACAGACACACAGAAAAATGGAATAGAATTGGCACTTTGGAATACAGTTTGATGGTTTTTTACTAAACTAAAATACTCTTTTTTTTTTTTTTTTATCCTCACCCGAGGACATTTCTCCATTTTTTGGTTCTGATAGAGTGGGAGGGAGAGAGAGGAAGACAGAGAGAAACATTGACATGAAAGGGACGCATCGAGTGGTTGCCACCTGCATGACCCAACCAGGGCCGGGGACAAACTGCAACCAAGGTATGTGCCCTTAGCGGGAACCAAACCCGGGTCTCTCTGGACCGCAGGCCAATGCTCTAACCGCTGAGCCAAACCAGCCAGGGCTAAACTAAAATACTCTTGCCATGCAATTCAATAATCACACATTTTGGTATTTACCCAAATGAGTTGAGAATATTGGGCCACACAAAAACCTGCACATACCTGTTTATAGCAGCTTTCTTCATAATTGCCTAAACTTGAGTAACCAAGATGTCCTTCAATGGGTGAATATACTGTGGCACATCCAGAAAATGGACTATTATTCAGTGCTAAAAAGAACTGAGCTATCAAGCCACAAAGAGACATGGAGGAAACTCAAATGCATATTACAAAGTGAAAGAAGTCAATCTGGAAAGGCTACATACTGTATCATTCCAATTATATAATATTCTGGAAAAGGCAAGAAAGAGATCAATGGTTGCAGGGTGAGGTGGGGAGAGATGAATTGGAAGAGCACAGAGGATTTTTAGTGCAGTGCAAATACTCTGTATGATATTATGTTGAATATATGTCATTATACCTTTGTCCAACTCAATGAATGTACAGCATCAAGAGTGAACCCTAAGGTAAACTATGAACTTTGGGTTAATACGATATGTCAATGTAGATTCATCCTTGGTGAAAAGGTATACTGTTCTGGTGAGCAACATTGATAAAGGGGTAGGCTGTGCATATATGGGGCAAGGGACATAATGGGAACTCTCTGTACCTCCCTCTCAATTTTGTTGTAAACTAAAATGCTCTAAAAATAGTCCTTTATTTTAAAAGCTGTAATAATTAACTGTATCTATTATATTTGCATATAAATCTCTATAGCTATAATAATTCCACACAAAGCAGACTTCAGAGCAAAAAATAAAAAATAATCAGAGATAAATACAGGCATTACATGATGATAAAAGAGTGAATACTTCAAGAAGCCATAACAATTTTTAATGTGAATGCACCTGACAATAGTACAGAAATACATGAAGCAAGAACTGATAAAAATGCAAGAAGTAGAGAAATCCATTATTACAATTGGATCTATCAGTAACCCTTTCACAGTTTTGACAGATCCATTGGACTGAAATAAGTAAGAATTTAATTAAATTGAATAGCACCATTAATCAACTAAGTCTAATTGACATTTATTTCATCCAAAAACAATAGAGTACACACTCTTCTCAAACTCAAATGTAACATTCATCAGGATAGGCCACATTCTGGGCTATAACACAAAACTTAAATTTTAAAAGAATATGAACATACAATGTCTGTGTTCAGCCCATGGTGGTATTAAACTAGAAATCAGTAACAGAAAGATAGCTGGCAAATTCAAAAACAAACTTTGAGATTACACTTCTAAATAACACAAGTCAAAGACAATGTCCTATGCAAATTTTTTAAATATCTGATAAAGAAGTTGTATCCAACAAATCAAAAATCTTTTAAAACTCAACAATAAAAAAACTAACAACCCAATTAAACAGTGAGCAAGCTCAGTCTGTGTGGTTCAGTAGACTGAGCATCATCCCGTGGACTTAGTGGTCCAGGTTCAATTCCTGGTCAGAGCGTAAGTCCAGGTTGCAGACTCGATCCCCAGTAGGGGATGTACAGGAGGCAGCCGATCTACATTTCTCTCTTACATTGATGTTTCTATCTCTCTCTAAAAACAATACAATAAAAAATAAAGTGAGCAAAAAATCTGAACAGACTATCTTTTGTCATTACAAAATTACAAATTAAAGCAACAAGATACCATATTACAATAGCTAAAATCCAAAACACTGACGATATCACATGCTGGTGAAGATGTATGTGTAGGAATAGTAAGTCTCATTCATTCCTGGTGGGAATGAAAAATAATGTAGCCACTTTGAAAGACAGTTTTGTGTACAATCCAGCAATCATGCTCCAAGATATTTACCCAAATGAGCTGAAAACATGTACACAAAAATTTGCACATAGATTCTTATAGCAGTTTTATTCATCATTTCCAGAAACTGGAAACAACCAAGATGTCCTATAAGAGGTGAGCTGATAAACTGTAATATGTTCATCCACTGAGATACTTTCTGCAATAAACAAAAATTGAGCTCTCAAGCCATAAAAAGACATAGAGGGACCGTAAATACATATTGCTAAGTGAAAAACACCAGTCTGAAAAGGCTACTAACTGTATGATTCTACATACATTACAATGTGAAAAAAGGCAACAATTTAGAAACTGTAAAAGGTCAGTGGTTGCCAGGGGTCTTGGGGAAGAGGGAATGATTTGAATAGGTGGGACACAGGGAATTTTTAGGGCAGCAAAACTATTCTTTATGATACTGTAATGATGGATACATTTTATCCTAGGTGTATATCCAAAAAAATAAAAATGCATGTCCACAAAATATGTATGAAAGAATGTTTAGAGCAGGTTTATTCGTGATAACTAAAGCCTAGGAAGAACTCAAAGGTTACCAAAGTAGAATGAATAATATATTATGATCTATTTGGACAATAGAATACAAGTCAATAATAAAATTGACTGTATTGCTGAAAAAAATACAAAAACTTGAATGAATGTCACAAACATGTTGAGCAGAGAAAGATAGAAACAAAAGTGAATACTTTATTATTTCATTTATATAAAATTTTAGAGCTAGCAAACAAATATATGTTAATGGAAATCAGATCAGTTTTTCTAGGGTAGGGGCACAAGAGAATGTATGACAATAAGGTACATGTCCCTTATATTGATTGACATGGTGGTTACAGGTTTGTATACATTTGTCTAAGTCATTTAATTGTAGTCCAAAAATGTTAGCTTTTTACTCTGTGTAAATTAAACCTCAATGAAGTTTGGTCACTAAAAATAATATAGTTTCTTTACATCAGTCGTGATTTAATCAGGCCTAAATAATTAAAGATTTTATTAGCTTTCATTATTAAAAACTCAGAGTAGAATGTGTTTCAGGAATAATTTATTTAGTTGCTCAACAGCACCTTTAAGGAACCAGTTCCTTTCCATTGTTCTACTCAGGTATTCATGGTGTTCCTGTCATCCTGTGGCTAGTTCCCATCATGGTCATAGAATGACTATCAGTAGCAAGGAGAACTACACACTTCTCTGTTCATACTTATTGGGAAAGATAAGCTCCATAATTTATCTGAGAAAAAGGAAAGGTAGCTCATGGTAATGACTTGCAATCTGTGTCTATGGCTAAACCAACCACTTAGTGGTTATTTTGATCACCTTGGATTGATTAATCAGTATTCACCCACAGAGCTGAAAATGAGGTTAGTATCCCAAGGTACCTGGGATGCATGAGGAAAGTGCCTCTCTAAACAACAATGAAGTTTTGCTTGCAAAGAGGAAGGGATAAATAGACCAATGATATGTGGCAAAGTCCTAATTATAAAATTCCATTTGCAACTATTTTAACTTTAGCATTTCATTTTATGGACAGAATATAATTAATCAAATCCTTATACTGAACATTTGGTTTAACAGTGAATTGTCACATTATTTCTTCCATCCTGGAATCATTAAATTTATCTTCGACAAAGTGTGCACCATTGATGCTTTCCATATTGGCAAAGACAGAACTATTAATTCATGTTTTCGTATTAAGATCATCTAATGAAAATTAACATTCTACAGGTTCTGAAGAGTTGTCAGGTGTTGGGAGATTCCTACCTTTAGAAAAATCATCCAGGTTGATCATTTGAATCCCAGCGGGAAAAGTATTTTCCCAGTACTGGACATTCTATGGAGTTTCTGCCTCCTCTTCTATTTATCAAGTGGCAATTTGACCAAAAGAGCTTGAAGCATTGGTAGATTTATTTATTTATAAGTGCATTTTTCTAGACTACTGATCCCAAAACAATTTTTTACTGTACATTCTTAATAAATTATTATATGCACACTTAATATTGAATGTATAGTTATGAACCACAAAACTATGATGTAATATACCATGATATAACAAACCCACTATACAATATGAATTAAATTATACAAAAACTGAGCACTCTAATATTGCATTTTATTTATTGACAGTATAATTAATCTACTCTCATTATGAAATTGTTACTAATTTTTTTAGTGGCAGCTGTGTGATTAAATGTGTTTCATTATTTTATAGAATCTTAGTTTAAAACTGCAATAGAATTTGAAGGTGTCTCAGTTATATATTGCTGAATAATAAACTACCCCAAAACTTAGTGGCTATAAACTATATTGTTATTTTTTTCACAATTCTGTCCATTGATTGGGACTCAACTAGATGCTTCTTCACCTAAGTGTTACACTTCAATATAAATCTTACATACAAGCTATTACACACCATCTTCATTTAATAGTTAGAAGTTCGAAGGAAAATGAAAGAAAATTGGCTCTGAACCACGTTCATACAATGCAAGGTGGAAGAAAGAGAAAAGTTCCAGCACTGAATAATATTATCATTCTCCATTTCACTCCAGGTCAAGCACACCTTCCACTATGGCAACCAAAGGCATTTAATAAAGAAGTTCTTTTTGCCCTCCCTACACTCCATTCCATATTATTGAAATAATAATGGGAAAAGCTCATCATAAATAAAGTTTCCCCAGAATTTTTCCAGAATTGCGATGTAAGTTGCTTTCTGGGAAGTAAACTACTAAGTTCTATATATAATGTATAAAATTAGACCTGCATAAAAATAACTCAACTTTAGATAGAATTAAGAAATGAGTGGCAAATATAATTACTCAGTTAAGTCAAGAAAATCAGGGTATAATTTTAGGCTTTATTGGGATAGTCATGGCAAGAATCAGCTTTATCATGATCAATTATAACTACTATACTAAAGCATGACTTACAGGTTTTATTATAAATATCATATATTTTATATTGTTATAGAAAGAAGCGGTGTGTAAGAACTATAGTAAAAAGAGGATTACAAATATGCCAGGAGTCAAAAAAACAAACAGACAAATATGCCAGGAGTCATTTTGGGTGTCAATCCACACAGAAATTATAAAACTTAAAGAAAAAATGCATCAGAATACCTGACAAATATAGATTTATGTCAACTCACCAGTGTAATGTAATGATTGGTATTATTTTGCTTTTGACCAGCCCATAAAGAGATAAATCCAGATAGGTGGAGGAACCATACCATATTATTATATCAATATCTAAGCCCCTTGCAATAAGACAAAAATTGGGAGAAGAGGCTCATACTCCCTCCATTCATCTGCAAATAGTCTCTCCAGTATACAGGATATTATAAAATGCTCCATAAATGTTCACTGTGTGAATTAATATATAAATTAATGTGTACACTTATTTATATAAGTTGAATAGTTAACAGCCTACTGAAAAATTTTCTGAAGATCACTTGTATAAGCTTATACATGAATTCTAAAAAGCAAATTATTTATTTCTTTAATGGTAGATACCAATTCAACCACATGTTCATGGATAATTTCCCATTCATAAGTAGAGCTTCATCATCTTGCAAATTGACATGTGACGGCCTTCACAAGTAACATCATTCCAGCCCCATGAGCCACGAGGAGGTTTATTCAGTATGACACAACGTTCAGCACGATTATTGGGTTCACCTTTATGCCAGAATCTGAAAGAGGGGAAAAAAATAAGGATGTGTCTTCAAATAGTGAGAAGGATTAGAGACAGTGGGGGTGGGTACTGGGGTTGAACTGTGTGGCAGTCAGGGCAGATATGCCCAATTATTACTTTTCCACTTTTCACACATTTTTTTTCCATCTGTGTCCCTGGCACTGCCCTTAAAAGCTGTGCCTACACACCACCCGATATTGTGTCATCTTATTGCATTAAACACTTTCCCAGCAGATATCCCAGAGGCTCCCTTCTATTTGTCCATACTTGTTCTAGGGTACTGTCAGTCCATAGGCCCCCTTAAATGATGACAAGGTTTTACACTGGCCCCAAGTCTCAATGTAGTTTGTTCCTTTTTTTTTTTAAATGTATTGCTTTTGGAGTCTAAAGAAGTAGTTAAAAATCTAAGAATCTGCTACTATACCTGTTATCTTGGACAAATAATTTAATTTCCCTCATTTTTCTTATCTAAAAAATAGAGAATAGAGTAATATCCCTACATATTTCACACAGTTGATATAAGGATCAAAAATGGTAATATACGAGAGTACTTAAGAGTTTTAAATGACCTACATAAATATGAGATATTATAAAACTATCAGAATTTAGTTCATCTGCTTTATGAAATATAGTAAATATTAAGAATTGGTTATGCTTTTCATTGACATGACTATGTGTTTGTTTGGAGATGTGTGGTTTAAAACACAGGCTTTAGTGTCAGATAGACCTGAGTTTAAAAACCATTGTCTGCCTGGCCCGTTTGGCTCAGCAGTTAGAGCATCGGCCCACGGACCAAAGAGTCATGAGATTGATTCTGGTCAAGGGCATGTACCTCGGTTGCAGCTCAGTCCCAGCCCTGGTCAGGGTCGTGAGAGAGGCAACCTGTCATGTTGCTCTCGCATCGATGTTTTTCTCTCTCTCTCTCTATGTCTCTCTTTCCCTCTCTCTCTCTTTCTCCCTCTCTCACTCCCTCCCACTCTATCTAAGATAAATAGAAAAATATCTTTGAGTGAGGATTTAAAAAAAAAAACCGTTGTCACATGCTCTGGCCCATTTTTCTCAGTGGTTAGAGCATCAGCTCATGGACCAGAGTCCAGGGTTTGATTCTGGTCAAGGGCATGTACCTCAGTTGCAGTTCAGGCCCCGGCCCTGGTCGGGGTCATGCAGAAGGCAATCAGTTGATATGTTTCTCTCACATCTCTCACATCTCTCTCTCTCTCTCTCTCTCTCTCTCTCTCTCTCTCTCTCTCTCCCTCTCCCTTCCCCTCCCACTCTGAAGATAAATGGGAAAATATCCTCAGGTGAAGATTTAAAAAACAAACAAACAAACAAACAACAAACAAACAAAAACATTGTTACCACTGCTGGATAACCTATGTTGAGTTATCTAAACTTAGTTTTCTCAGCGCTGCAGTGAGAAAAATAACAATGTGTGTTTCACAGAGTTTTCATGATGATTAAATGAAATAATAAATACAATTATTCAACTTAGTGCCAAGAGTTTCAAGAAGAGTAAGCTATTTTATTTTAATACTTGAGAGCTTGGACACCCTACAGTACCTGATGATCCAGGACTCAGGATTCCTTCATCTAAATTTATACTCACGTAGCATTTTCACTGTACGGTGTCTGATCAACCCATTGCCAGGCTCTTGTCCCCTCTGGGTCTGACAGCCCTATATAATAAGCTTTCTTTTTATCCAGGGTCTGAATGATAAAATCCTGAGGAAGAAAAGAAAGGAGTTATATCCTTTACAATGTTCTGGTTGAATTGAGTTATTTACGGCTTTAGGGAGAAGAGAAGAAAAGGAGAGGATCTAGGGAGAGCCACATGGTGGAGGACTTCCCAGGAGTGCAGGGGTTCTCTGGCTGTGCAGTATAGGATCATTGACATCACTTAAGAGTCTGACGTTTGTCTTAATCTATTTGAGCTGCTAAAACAAAATACCGTAGACAAGGTATCTGATAAACAACAGACATATTTCTCATAGTTCTGGAGGCTGGAATTGCAGATCAGGGACTAGCATGATTGGATAAATCTCTCTTCCTGGGTCACAGCTGGCGCCTTGTGGTTGTGTTCTCGTGTGGCGTAAGGCGAGGTAGCTGTTTGGGGTTTCTTTTATAAGAACACTAATCTGATTTATGAGGGCTCCACCCTAATGACCTAACCACTTCTCAATTCCTAATACTATCACCTTTGGGAATTAGAATTTCAACATATAAATTTGGAAGGGACACACACATTCAGAACAGAACAATGTTCAATATATATGGAATCAATTTCTAACCATAATCATAATAAATTCTCATCTCAGACTCATTCCCACTCTTTTCTTCACTAAGAGAGGGTATTCCTCAAAGTTATGCATGAGTAAACTTTTGCACATTAAATCTGTTTCCTTTCACAATCTCAGAGATTTTTTTACATACTTTATTCCCCTATTTGACTTAACACCACTTCTCTGTTAGTTAATAATGTATAAGACATTTACATGTCAAAATAATATACTGATATTTCAGGCTGAAGTATTTTCATCCTTCCACTTAACCCCGACATATTATATTTTAAATGTCCCCATTTATTTGGGGGGGGAGGGATTTAGTTTTAGGGACGCAAAAAGAAGGCATAGAGCATAAAGTCTTAAGTAGCCTTTTCTGTCTATTTTATTGAAAGCCTTTTGCCACAGCACCAATATCCCAAAATAATGAAAGCATCCTCCTTAGCCAAAAGAGGTGTACAAAATCATACCACCCAAAGCATTTTTTTTTTTTACTTCATTATCTATTAGCACACTACCCAAAGGACTTTTGGTTCCATTATCTATTAGAACATACGTGCTCTTCCTTGGTGTTGATTACCAGCAGGTGAGCCTTCATTTCTGAGCAGTTCTTTTTATTCTCTATCCAATTTTTGTCTTCAGTAGAAAAAAAATAGCAGTTCAAATTAAATGACTTCCAATTCTTTGGGCAGCAGCCCCAGTCTTTCTCTGTATTGGCAGAAGACCACATAGGTACAATATAAGAAAAGTAATTTGTAAAGTGTGTATTAAAATTAAGGACCAAGGGGAACCACATGAAAACTAAGTCAGACAGAGAAAGACAAATACCATATGATTTCACTTATATGTGGAATCTAAAGAACAAAAAGAAAAAGAAACATACAGATACAGAGAATAAACTGGTGGTTGCCAGAAGGAAAGAGGATTGGGGAGCTGAGTGAAAAGGGTGAAAGGGTTAAGAAGTACAAATGGGAATTTACAAAATAGTCTGATGGATGCAAAGTACAGCATAAGGAATATAGTCAATAATATTGTAGTAACTACATATGGTGCCAGGTGGGTTCTTAAAATATTAGGAGGATCACTTTGTAAAGCATATGATTGACTAACCACTATGCTGTATACCTGTAGCTAATAATATTGAATGTAAACTGTAATTGAAAAATTAAGTTATTTTTAAAGCAAATGAACAAAAACTCACAGAAATAGAGAGCAGAATAATGGTTGCCAGGGGCTGAGGGCAAGGGGAGAAATGAGTAGATGTTGGACTTCCGGTCAGGATGGCGGCGTAGGTAAACGCGGTATTGCGTCCTCCCACAACCACATCAAAGTTACAACTACAGAACAACCATCATTCAAAACTGCCTGAAATCAAGCTAAATGGAAGTCCTACAACTACGGAATTAAAGCAGCAGCCACATCCAGACTGGTAGAAGGGGCGGAGGCGCAAGGGGCAGCGGCGGCGCGACAGGCTGGTTGCACACCCACTTGTGGCGGATAAAAATCAGGAAGATACCTCAGCTGGGAAGGTCCTTCCTGAGGACTGAGAGGTCTTCGTCCCACACCAGGTGCCCAGCTCAGGATTCCAGAGCCAGAAAGAGAAGTCCCCACAACTTCTGGATGGAAAACCCAGTGGGAACTGAGGCTCAGGGAGGCTGAAGCAGCTGGAGCCCCAGGAAGCTCCTTAAAGGGCCTGTGCACGAACTTATTGGACTCTCTCCCTCTAAGCTTGGAGGGGAGGCAGCTCGAGGGGCGCCAGAGACATACAGGAAAGAACTGAGCTGTTTGGCACTGGAGCAAGGGCTGGAGAGGGGGCTTTCTCCGGGGCAAACGTGCTGTCAGAGGCCTTTGTTCCTTTGGTGAGCCCTTCCCTGGGGCAGCAGACAGAAGCCATATCTGGGACTCCAGCAACCTGGCTCACACTGGTAGCCCCGCCCTGGTGACTCCCTGAGGCCCTGCCCCACCCAACTTTCAGGCCCACCCAAGCTGTTGCCACTTGCTTAACCATAGGATTGGCCTGTCTTGGATCCTGCTTCAGGTTTTTCCTAAATTCTTTCAAACGAGCAGCATCTGGTCTCAGCTAGCCCCATACCTCTCATTAAGTAATACACTGAAACAAACACAGGGAGGCAGCCAAAATGAGGAGACAAAGAAATAGGTCCCAAATGAAAGAACAGAACAAAACCCTAAGAAAAGAACTAAGCAAAATGGAGATAAGCAACCTAACAGATGCTGAGTTCAAAATACTGCTTGTAAGGATACTCAATGAACTTAGTGAGAACCTCAGTAAAATTAGTGAGGGCCTCAAGAGCATAAAAAAGGACCAGTCAGAAATCATGGATGCACAGTTAGAATTGAAGGAGGCATTAACTGAAATAAAGAATAATTTACACAGATTCAATAATAGAGTATGTAAATCCAAGAAGCAAACCATCGATTTGGAATTTAAGGGAGCAAAAAAATGCCCAATCAGAACAGCAAAAAGAATAAAGAATCCAAAAAAATGAGGAGAGTGTAAGGAGCCTTTGGGACAACTTCAAGCGTGCCAACATTCGCATCTTGGGGATGCCAGAAGGAGAAGAGCGAGAACAAGAAATGGAAAACCTGTTTGAAACAATAATGGCAGAAAAATTTCCTAACTTGGTGAAGGAAACAGACATACAAGTCCAGGAAGCACAGAGATTCCCAAACAAGATGAACCCCAAGAGGCCCACACCAAGACACATCATCATCAAATTGCAAAAGGTTCAAGACAAAGAGAGAATCTTAAAAGCAGCAAGAGAAAGGCAGCTAGTTACCTACAAGGGAGTTCTCATAAGGCTGTCAGCTGATTTCTCAAAAGAAACTTTGCAGGCCAGAAGGGAGTGGCAAGAAATATTCAGAGGGATGAAAAGTAAGAACCTACAACCAAGATTACTCTATCCTGCAAAGCTGTCATTTAGAATCGATGGCCATATAAAGTTTCCCAGACAAAAAAAAGTTAAAGGAGTTCATCACCACCAAACTGTTATTATATGAAATGATGAAGGGTCTTTTTGAAGAAAAAGATAAAATATATGAACAAACCAAATGGCACTGAATACATATCTATCAACAATGGAATCTACAAACAAAATGAACAGGCAGAACAGAAACATTCTCATAGATACAGAGAACATTTTTTTGGTTGCCAGATGGGAGGGGGGTTGGAGGAATGGGTGAAAAAGGTGAAGGGATTAAGAAGTACAAATTCATTGCTAGACTGACAAACCTCAAAGGGAAAGGGGTTGGGTGATGGAAAGAAATAAACCAAAGAACTTATATGCTTAACCAATGGACACAGACTATAGTGTGGGAAAAGGCAGGAGGGGGGTAAGAGGGGGGCAGGAGGGGGGAGGAGGGGGTCAATGGGGGGGGAAATGAGGGACATCTGTAATACATTCAACAATAGAGATTTAAATAAATTTTAGAAAAAGAAAATAAAAACATTTTAAAAGACTATTTTCTTGCACAGATATATTAAATATATTCATATAAGAATTTTAGATCCTATATATTTGTACCCCTAAAGACTTAAATGATCATGAGACTCAACCTCTTAGTATGATATACTTGTTAATCTTTTCATAATATTGATTGAAGATCTTTACACAGTACAGCCAACAACTAAATTATAGACATTAATTTTTACCTTCCATGGTCAAATTTTCTTTTATACATTCCAATGTTGTGTGAGTAAATTCTTTTATAGTCTTTTTTTCTTTGAGAAGTTGGGAATACTTTTGAAAGAAAACTGAAAAAGAGAATAAGACCATTCATTTTCCTGGTAGTGTTATGACTTTGCTTTTTATTATTACTTTCTTGCATTCTTTGTTTAAAAAAAAAAACAACCTACAAATGCCCAATTACTTAAGTAGAAAGATTCAACTATGAGAAAGATTTGCTATCACCCTATATTCAATGTAATTCCGATCCTACTGATTTTGAAACCAGAGATTTCTCCAGAAATAGCTACAAGATCAGTAGTTGAAAGAAGACATGACAATTCCATTATTATGGGTCAAGGGGATTTATCCATATTCTCCTTCAATATTAAATGTATGATGCACACAAAGACTAAGCCTTGGAGGAGGAGGAATTGCAAAAAAAAAAAAAAAAAATGGTGTCTACTCCCACCACTTTGGAAAACCACCCTTGCAATAGTCAGCAGTAATATTCCAGGGCCTCTTCTTCGTTTTCTTCCTCTTAAATTTCCTGCAATACTTGACCCCAGTTCTCTCCCCCACTTAACTCTTAGTTTCAGCCAGGACCACTGATTCCAGTCCAGACTGCCAAATCACAAAATCATGAGCCAAATAAATAGCTGTTGTTTTCATCCCCTACATTTTAGATTGGTTTATTAAGCAGCAGAAGATAATTGATACAATTATCTTCAGGGGGAAAAAATCACCCTCTTTAGAATTGTACACAACATTCTTCATGATCTGAGCCCCACTTCTTTCTCCCACCAATAACTTCATTTCTCACAGTTCCCTTAGCATCATATGTTCTAATCATTTATTCTTAAATTTCCTCACATTTTCCCACGTTCTTTCACATCTCTATGCCACCTCCTTCAGGAAGTCTATCTCATCCTCTCGTGCTTCTTATCTGTACACTACCATACAATGCTGTAACCATTGGTTCATGTAACCAGTTACTACCATTTTTGAACTTCTTGAAACCAATGATTTTGGCTTGGACTCTGCCTGGCACAGTGTCTCACATAAAGTGGATGGCCATCAATTCTTATTGAATGACCAAATAAAATATATACTAGTTTTGATTCCCTTTAACAATTAGATAAATTCTTAAAGCCAAAGATATGCCGAAATCTACCAATTTGCCAAGTTGCCTTTTAGATCTCAAGTCTTGGGCAGGACAGAAATAATTAAGGTGAAAATTCAATGGGAAACTCTTCCTGGAATATTTCTCCTCTTATCCTTGTTCACCTGTTTATTCCAAAGTATGTATCTGTGCACTCAAAAAGTCCTGACCTTATAAACACTAAGAAAATATAAATTTGTCCTCACATGACAGTCTAGTGTAAAAATGATGCCTTATAGATTTCACTCTACAACACAAACACATATACTCTTCAATTCTGATAGAGGAGATTCTATTATTTTTTATAGAAAAGTAACTAACTTCAAATAGAAAATAATATTTCCAATGGATTCCCACTAGTTATATCAACCCTCCCACCCACAGAAGACTTTTTTCTTAGATTTCTGGATAAACCCCTGTTAAATATCAGAATCTAATGGATACTTTCTGTTTGTGTAAGGCAGGCATTTCTTAGTTTCACTTGGATACTTACTGATAAAAGCGATGAAAAATGAGATTGCCAATAATAGCAGAAGTATCAACAATGAGAGGAAGAGTACCTTGGAAAAACCAGGGTTACTTGTGTGAAGGCTGCTCTTCTCTTTGGGAACTAAAGAAAAAAATTAGTTAGTTTTATCAGTAGTAAATTCTAATTATGAACTTATTCTTTCTCTTTCTTTTCCTCATCTTCCTTTTCTTGGATGGCATAACAATATGACAATGGAAATAACATAAAAATAGGAAGAAAATATGTTCATTGTATAAATGTTGGAAAATATGTAAAAGCACAAATCCCTACTAATGAGGACAACTATTGTTAATATTTTGGGATATATATATATATATATATATATAATCTCTGGCAATTTTTAGAGTGTTTATATACACAAGCATTTTTCTACATGATTGACACACCATATATACTAGTTTCTGACCTATTATTTTCTTACCTGCTATATTATTAACATTTTTATATTATAGTTTCTTGGACCACACTCTCTATTGTGGTTGCATAGTATTTCATTATATATTTAATTAATCTTCCAGATTGTTTTCATCTTTTTGTTAAATTTATTAAGGTTACATTGGTTAATAAAATTATATAGGTTTCAAGCATATAATTCTATAATACATCATCTGTATATTGTATTGTGTGTTCAACACCTGAAGTCTAACCTCCTTTCATCACCATTTATTCCCCTTTTACCCTCTTCTACCTGCCTCCACCTCTCTCTCACTCTGGTAATCACCATACTATTTTTGTGTCTATGAGGTTTCATTTTGTTTTTTTCTTAATCCCTTCACCTATTTCACCCAGCCTGTCAACCCCTGTTCCCTCTGACAACTGTCTGTTCTCTGAACCTACGAGTTTCCTTCATTTTGTTCCCAATTTTAACTACTTTAAATAATGCCATAGCAGATAAAATTTATAGTCATCCCTCATCACATCCATAGGATAAGGTCAGATCTTTTTAGTCAATATTTCATGGTTAAAAATTATTTTTCTCACCCTGGTCTGTTTGGCTCAGCAGTTAGAGCATCAGCCCTTGAACCAATGAGTCGCAGGTTTGATTCCAGCCAAGGGCACATACCTCGGTTGTAGTTTGTTCCCAGCCCTGGTCAGGGTTGTGCCAGAGGCAACCAGTCCATGTGTCCCTCTCACATCTATGTTTCTCCTCTCTCTCCCTTTCTCTCCTTCTCTCTCCTTCCCACTCTATCTGCAGATAAATGGAGAAATATCCTACAGTGAGGATTTAAAAAGAAAAAAAAATTATTTTCTCGCCCTGGCCAGTTTGGCTCAATGGTTAGAGCATTGGCATGCAGACCAAAGGGTCTCTGGGTTCAATTCCTGGTCAAGGACATGCACCTGGGTTGCAGGTTTGATCTCCGGCCCCAGTCGGGGTCTTGCGGGAGGCAACCAATCAATGTGTCTCTTTTACATCGATGTCTCTCTCTCTCTCCCCACCAAAAAAAAAATCAATGGAAAAATATATCCTTGGATGAGAATTAACCAAAAAAATTATTTTCTCAAAGTTTTGTACATTTTTTTTTTGGGGGGGGGGCAATTTTCCTTAGTACTCTCCATATCTCCACAGAAGAGTTTTAGAAAACATGAGCAATCATGATTGCCCTCTCACGGCTTCTTATACTCTACATTCCTTTTTGCTCCATATCTGAGGTATCATAGATGCTACTCATAGTTGAATCCATCTCAGAGATGCAGTATGCAATGCATTTTCTCATTACAAAGCGATTTCCCTTGAGAGATAAGGGACTTTCTTTATAAGACTTTCTAGTCTTTTATATGCAATGATTTTTTGCTCTATTTTAGTCCAGTATTAACAAATACACCCACAACACTCTCCACCCAAACTCTCCTAACCGGTCAAGAAACAAAGCCTACAGTTCATCACTTTGCAGGGGCTATGGATAATTGAGCAGGCTTTGTTACTGCAGTCTGCAGTCTCACTGAGCCTCAGAAGACACAGGAGAACAACTTTTCCCCATAATTACCACTCTCTTTAGCTCAGGACTAGAGTGGTTTCCTCACATCTCAGTTCTGTTATAGTACACCTGTACAACCCCTAATACTTAGTTTCAAGCAACTTCATTTACTGAGAATTCTATATTTCCAAACTGTGGCTAGTGAGAAAACCAGTACCTAATATTACCCATAATTTGTATATACTATTATCTCTTAGTTCTTCATCTTATATTTAATTCTGACCACCAGAAAATATTTCTTACCTGAAGTAAGCTCTGAGTTGATGCCTAAAGACTTGGATTCATTTTTGAACCTCACTTCAGCATAAGTGACCTCTGAAGTCATATTGAGAAGACATCTTCTGCTTTATTAAAAAAATCCTTTGTATCTCTTCCTTAAAACATCTAAAAATAAAAACCAAACATGACGGTAACTTGTCATACTTCCCATCATGCAACCAGATGAAAAAAGAGGTCCCAGATTTGCATATACCTCTGACAGTACTCTCATGAGAACTTATAATCTGAAGACAGAGGCCCATTCTCCAATACTACCTCAGTGGAAATTATAGCCTTTAAAAATATGCAAGCTACAGTAATAAAAGTAGGAACTCAAAGGGTAGAGGAAAGAAATAGGAAGGAAAAGAAAAGGGGAACTAAACAATTGGAGAATTTTTTCATAAGAATTGTGTTGTCAGAACTCACCAGCAAGATTCAACTGAGAACCCAAGGCTCTTCAAGTAATCCAACTAATAGTCTCCAGGCAAAAAGCTAGAGGATAACTGAACCATTCCTGGGCTTGCAACTCTGCCAGGAAAATAAGACTTGACAGTGGTGTTTAACATGGGTCCTCCCATGCTCATCCAAACCCAGGAGAGGGATTCACAAATAGCAGAACTCCAACACCCACAGGGAAAATTTGGCAGGCTCCAAAGCCCACTGTGATAGCCAAAATAATGAAACAAATAAACAAATGCCAAATGAAAGAACAAGAGACCTCTACTGAATATGAGATAAATGAGGAGCAGTTAAACAAGTTAACAATGCGAGAATTCAGAGCCATGATCTTGAGGAAGCTCAACAGCATGAGTAAGAACATAAACACCATGAGTATAGTCATAGAAATGTTGAAAATCAACCAATTAAAAATTAAAAACCACCAAGAAGAAATCAAGAATGATATATCAGAAATAAAGAACACATTGGAAGGTCTAAACAGCAGAATAGAGGAAATTGAGGACCGAATCAGTGAATTAGAAGACAGGGTAGAAAAAAATCAACTAATCAGAAAACCAGAAGAAAAAAATAATTAAAAAACAGGAAGACAGCTTAAGAGAACTGTGGAACAACTGGAAACATAATATTTGCACGATAGGTGTCTCCAAAGAAGAAGGAAATGAGCATGGGTTAGAGAATATATTTAAAGAAATAGTGACAGAAAACTTTCCTAATTTGGTAAAGGAAGAAGGAATTCAAGTTCAAGAAGTACAGAGACCCCCAAGTAAGAAGAATCCAAACAGGCCCACATCAAGACACATAGTAGTTAAAATGCCAAAATTAAAGACAAAGAGAGAATCCTAAAGGCAGCAAGCAATAAGCAAAAGGAATCCCCATAAGGCTGTCAGCTGACTCCTCAACAGAAACACTACAGGCCAATAACTAGAGACAAAGAAGGCTACTACATAATATTGAAAGGATCTATCCACAGGAAGATATAACCTTGATAAACATATAGGCACCCAACATAGTAGCACAATATTTATTAAAAATCTTCTGGAAGACTTCAAAGGAGAAATCGATACCAATACAATCATAGCAGGAAACTTGAACACCCTGCTGACATCACTGGATAGATTCTCGAGACAAAAAATTAGCAAGGAAACAGAGACTCTAAATGAAGCACGGGACCATATGGATTTAATAAATATCTACAAAGAATTACACCCCAAAACTACAGAATTCACATTCTTCTCAAGTGCACATGGCACATTCTCAAAGATAGACTACAAGTTAGGACACAAACTAAGACTCTACAAGTTCAGAAAGATTGAAATCATATCAAGCATCTTCTCTAGTTTCACAATGGCATGAAACTAGAAATCAATTGCAACAAGAACATGCAAAGACATTTCAACACATGGAAGCTAAATATCATGTTATTAAACAATGAATGGATTACAGATGAGATCAAGGAAGAAATTAAAAACTGCCTGCAAACCAATGAAAATGAACACACAACAACACAAAATTTATGGGATGCAGCAAAAGCAGTTCTGAGAGGGAAGTTTATAGCACTACAGGGTTATGTCAAGAAACAATAAAAATCTCTAATAGCTTATCTAACATCACAATTTAGAGAACTACAGAGCAAAAGAAAAACAAAACAAAACAAACAAACAACAACAACAACAAAAAACAGGAGCAAGTAGAAGGAAGGAAAGAGTAAAGATCAGAGCAGAAATAAATAACATAGACTCCAAAAAAAAAAAAACAATTTGAAGGCTCAATGAAACAAAGAGCTGGTTTTTCAAAAAGATAAACAAGATTGATGGACCCTTAGTTAGACTCACCAAGAAACAAAGAGAGAGAACCCAAATACACAAAATCAGAAGTGATAGAGAAGAATTAACAACTGACACCGCAGAAATACAAAAAATCATTAACAACTACTATGAACAACTATCTGGCAACAAATTTGACAATCTAAGTAAAATGGATAAATTTCTAGAAACACATAGTCTCCCAAAACTGGACCAGGAGGAGGTAAAATACTTGAACAGACCAATAACAACTAAGGAAATTAAAGATGTAATCAAGACTCTCCCAGCAAACAAAAGCCCAGGCAAGGATGGCTTCACGGGAGAGTTTTACTGAACAGTCAACAAAGAACTAACACCCATTCTCTTCAAACTATTTCCAAAATTCAAGAAGAGGAGAGACTTCCAAACTCATTTTATGAAGCCAACATAATTCTAATTCCAAAACCAGGAGACACTGCAAAGAAAGAAAACTATAGGTCAATATACCTGATGAACATAGATGCCAAAATCCTGAACAAAATACTAGCAAATTGGATCTAGCAATACATCAAAAAATTATGATGGGATTCATCCAAGGGATGCAAAACTGGTTCAAATATTTGCAAATCAATAAATGTGATACACCACATAAACAAAATTAAGAATAAAAAACCACATGATCATATCAATAGATGCTGAAAAAGCCCTCGACAAAATCCAGCATCCATTTCTGATAAAAATGTTCAGCAATGTGGACATAGAGAGATCATATCTCAACATTATAAAGGCCATATATAAAAGACCTACAGCCAACATCATACTCAATGGACAAAAACTAAACACATTTCCCTTAAGAACAGGACAACACAAGGATGCCTACTTTCACCACTCTTATTTGATACAGTACTGGAAGTCTTAGCCACAGCAATCAGACAGGAAGAAAAAATAACAGGGATCCAAATTGGAAAGGAGGAAGTGAAACTGTCATTATTTGCAGATGACATGATACTATACATTGGAAACCCCAAAGATTCCATCAAAAATTTACTAGACTTAATAAATGAATTTGGCAAAGTAGCAGGATACAAAATTAACATCAAGAAATCAATGGCATTCTTATACACCAGTGATGAACTCACAGAAAGAGAAACTAAGAAAACAATCACATTTACCATTGTGGCAAAAAAATTTAGATACCTAGGAATAAGCTTAACCAAAAAAATAAAGGACCTATTCTCAGAAAACTACAGGTCATTGAAAAAAGAAAGAGAGGAAGATATAAAAAAGTGGAAGCACATACCATGTTCATGGACTGGAAAAATTAACATCATTAAAATGTCCATACTACCCAAAGCAATCTATAGATTCAATGCAATCCCCATCAAAATACTAATGACATACTTCACAGAACTAGAACAAATACTTCAAAAGTTCATATGGAACCAAAAACGACCTCGAATAGCCACAGCAATCTTGAAAAAGGAGAACAAAGTAGGAGGGATCACAATATCAGATTTCAGTTTATACTACAAAGCCACTGTAATCAAAACAGCCTGGTACTGGCATAAGAACAGCTATATAGACCAGTGGAACAGAACAGAGAACCCAGAAATGGACCCAAGGCAATATGCTCAATTAATATTTGACAAAGGTAGCAAGAGCATACAGTGGAGTAAAGACAGCCTCTGTAATAAATGGTGTTGGGAAAATTGGACAGCTACATGCAAAAAAATGAAACTAGACCATCAACTTACGCCATACACAAGAATAAATTCAAAATGGATAAAATACTTAAATGTACTCATGAATCCATAAAAATCCTAGAAGAAACTGTAGGCAACAAAATTTCAGACATCATATGCAACAGAATTTTCACTGATACATCCTCTAAGGCAACAGAAACAAAGGAGAAAATGAACACATGGGACTACATCAAACTCAAAAGCTTCTGCACAGCCAAAGAAACAATCATCAAGATGGAAAGGCAACACACTCTATGGGAGAGCATAATTACCACTGATATATCAGTTAAGGGGTTAATTTCCAATATATATATGTATAGAGTGCTCATACAACTCAACAAAAGGAAGACAAAGACCCCTTCACCCCCCGCAAAATGGGCAAGGAACTAAATAGACACCTCTCCAAACAGGACATACAAATGGCCAAGAGACATATGAAGAAATGCTCAACATCACTAATCATCAGAGAGATGCTAATTAAAACAACAATGAGGTATCACCTCACACCTGTCAGAATGGCCGCCATCAACAAATCATCAAACAAGTGTTGGAGAGGGTGTGGAGAAAAGGGGACTCTAGTGCACTGCTGGTGGAAATGCAGACTAGTGCAGCCACTATGGAAAACAATATAGTGTTACCTCAAAAAATTAAAAATTGAACTTCCATTTGACCCAGTGATCCCACTTCTAAAAATATACCCTGAGAAGCTTGAGACACCAATCAGAAAGAATATATGTACCCCCATGTTTGTAGCAGCACTATTTACAATAGCTAAAATCTGGAAACAGCCCAAATGTCCATCCGTTGATGAATGGATCAAAAAGCTGTGGTACATATACACAATGGAATACTATGCAGTTGTAAGAAAGAAAGATCTCTTATCTTTTGAGACCACATGGAGGGACCTGGAAAGTGTCATACTAAGCAAAACAAGCCAAACAGAGAAAGACAAGTATTATATAATCTCACTTTTTGTGGAATATAATGAACATAACAGTCTGAGGAATGGGGTAGTCCCAGAGATATGGAAGTGGGATACAGACTGACAATCCCCAGAAGAGTGGGGGGGGGTAGATAAACCACAGAACTTATATGCATGTATGCATGAACAATGGACATAGACAACAAAGCTGAGGACAGAGTGGGGAGGGAGGTTGAGGGGGGAGTCAGTAGGGAGGGGGAAAGAAACATCTGTAACAAAAATAAATTAATTAATTAAATGAAATCAAATAAAATGAAAAGAAAATTTTTCTTCTAAAAAAATAAAATTCTTGA